GATGAGGGTGGGGCTGGGGGTGGGGTGGGGTGGGAGTGGGGTGTCCGGCGCCGACCGAGACGGCCCGAGGCGCCGTCGGCGCGCGTGCCAGCACCTGCTGCCAATAGTTCCGCTGCAGGGCGGCGCCCTGTGCCGGCGGGTCTGAGACAAAAACAGAGCGGAAGTGACGGGAACAAAGCGGGCAAAAAATATTCCGGCACGCAGATAGATAAGAACCGATATGAATGATTCAAATACGTGTCATCCATCAACCACCGGCAAGGACCAGAAAGCCGACGGTAGCCTCTGAGGGACTTGACATTTTCCTTCATCTTCCAAATATTAAACCATACGTGGCGACGGCTCAGACGCCCCGAAATATCCATCCCGAAATATCGAATGTCAGACGAGAGGTAGCCAAACATGGCTCTCGACTCCGGGGACTCCTGGGAGGGCCGGCACTCTCGGCCGCCCTCCCCTCCCCTTCCGCCATGCCGCGCCGCGCACGGGTCGGAATGTACACATCCGGCCTAATGGAAGGGCAAACCGACCGCGACCACAGGCCGGCCGCGGGCGACGGGCCAGCGCGAGGATCACGCCGAGCGCCTCGCCCAGCCTAACCCGCTGGCACTCGCTGCTAACTCGCTATCACTCGCTGCAGCCCCACAAGGCCCAACGCGCGATGCCGTGGTGGGGTGACGATGCAGTGCCGTCCAAACACAATCAGAAGTACGCCTGGTAAACGGACTGCCAAAATTAGCTGCCAGTGGGTCGCGCATTCTGATCACAAATCGATAGTATACGATTTGCGCTCATTCCAGTAATGGGTCAGAAGTTTCGACCGCGATAAGCCTGGACGGAAAGTGAAGACATCGCATTCTCATGGTAAAAATCATCGATGATGCTGTTAAATCTAAGAACTGCAGCTTGCAACACATTTACAGGTCGCGACGGCCATTCCAACATTTTCAGCACGTGAAACTCCTATGATAGATGTAGTGGCACAGCCCTCCAAAGTTATGGAGTGTAAAAGGGCAAATTCGCGGCCGGCAGCGGCCGAAATCTACGACCTTTGCATGGCACGGAGCCATTACATCATGAAATACGCTTCAGTTCGGAACGAGAGTGAATCAGAGCCGCCGCAGCTCCGCCTGGGTGAGAGCGGGAGTGTGGGGGAGGGAGGGAGTGTGTCACAGGGGTGCCGGACACGGCGCGCCAGCAGACCCGCCCTAATGGTAGCGGGGAGGAGGGCTGATCTAGGGTCGAGCGTCGCTCTCTCTGCAGGAGGGATCGGCGCTCCGCCGGTGAGTCAGGGCGCGGTAACTCATCCAGGGTAGGGAGGGTCCACTGCCGAGGAGGGAGGGTCAGCTGCCGGGGAGGGAGGGCCAGCTGCCGGGGGGGGGGGGGGAGTGCCCGCTGCAGGGGGGAACACAACCGGAAGAGAGGTGTTTTGAGGTGGGGGACCACGCGACTAGTATTGTGGAAAACGTTGAGAAGCTTGCGTGGGGTTGCTGTTGGGGACGTTGGAGACAGTGGGCAGCGAGTTGGTGGGCATGTTTTACCAAAAGCTTTTCCTGTTTGACGGTGGGCGTGACATCGCGTTTCTGCAACAGCGGGAGGTCGGCGCCTCCGTAAAACTGCCCCGTTTCCCCGTCCCCATGCTAAATCACGCTTATCTGCGTGACGGGCTGAAATACGACGGGCGGAACGACTGTCCGCTGGTAGTTTGTACCGTTCCCCACGGCAGGGAGGCCTGCGCTCACAGCCACGCGTCACAGCTCGCGCTCGGCGCACGAAACACCCGCAACGACCGGGGTGTCGGAATGTGTCGGAAAGTGTCGGAATGTTGTCAAGATTGTTTGCTCTCGTCCCAGAAAGTAAAAAGTTCCGTCATTGCTAAAAATTAATTACGTTGTTTGTCGTTAATTTTCAGGACCGGTGTATTCATCCAGGGGGTGCAGAAAGTAGCTTCGGTGCTTATTTACTTCGACAAATTTTACGCATCCAAATTTCGTAAAAAAAGAGATTCTAGGTGTCATGATGGAAATTGCGGGCGTCGTATCATAAGATAACGCATGTGCAAAAAGTATTGTTTCGGTGGGGTAGTAAGAGCCGTATAAGATCGCCTTTATTCGCTACGCATATTGTGAATCAATGTGTAAGGAAGCCAGATGACATTTTAGTACAAATCTCCTCTCAGTGGTCCAGCCCAGCAGCGCTCTAGAGGCACTGCAGGCTTTTCCACACTAGAGTCAACAGAGTTACCATGGGGAAAACGTGCCATTCTCTCAGCGTTATCCTCATCCGGATCATGATAGAGAATGGCGATCGCGTCGACCAACTTTATTTTCCTTCTTTTAATCAAAACACTCAACCATTCCCTGTCTATCTTCCCCCGGCCACATTTTATGCCATCGTTCTCCCCGTTCCAAGTGTGACCTAAAGCCCCCGCCCGGCGGCCATTCTGGCGCGGGCCGTCAGCAGACCGCGCGCCGCGGCGGAAACGGCGCGCTGTTATTGTACGGCCGGCGCGCCGATGTCCCAGCTGATATAATCCCTCTCCCGACCCTGGGAAACACCCGCTGAGCAAACAGACACTGCACGGGACGGTCTGGCGCGCCGTGCGTCACACGACGGCCAGGCGTGGGGAGCGGGGCTGGCCTGGAGGGCTGGAGCATGGGGTGCGGGGCTGGCCTGGAGCGCCGGAGCATGGGGGTGCGGGGCTGGCCTGGAGGGCTGGAGCATGGGTGCGGGGCTGGCCTGGAGCACTGGAGCATGCGGCGCGGGGCTGAGCTGGAGCACTGGAGCATGGGGTGCGGGGCTGGCCTGGAGCACTGGAGCATGCGGCGCGGGGCTGAGCTGGAGCACTGGAGCATGGGGTGCGGGGCTGGCCTGGGGCGCTGGAGCATGCGACTGCTTCCTCCCACTCCCACAACCACAGTCCTCCCACCACCAGCACTCCTCCCACCACAGTGGCGGTGTGAGGAGCACCTGCCTGTCTTGTGGCCTTTCAAGGGTGACAGCGCGCAGCCAACGGAGAGAAAGTAATGAGTTTTCAATGCGAGATGACGAGGTTTGAGCAATGGATGAATCCAGTTCCACCCCAAGGGATGCTGCAGGGCATGGTATGGCATGTGGCATGGCATGACATGGTATGAGATGTCATGACATGGCATGAGATGTCATGACGAAGATGGAATGGTGTAAATCGAAATGAAACGACATGACATCATATTGCACTTTGTGGGATGGTTTGGTGCAGCGGGAAGTGATATGGCACGAAAAAATAGTAGCATGATACCGCGTGGCATGGTGTGGCGTGGTGTGGTGTGTAGCGTGGTGTGTTGCGTTTTGTTGCGGTGCCGTGTGGCGTGATGTGGTGTGGTGTGATGTGATGTATCGTGGTGTGGTGTGCGTGTGGAGAGGCTGGAGTGGATTAGAATGGAGTAAGACGAGATTAGATGAGCTGAGTAGAGTTTGAAATAAGGTGAGGAAGGGTGAGGTAAGGTGAGGTGAGCTGAGATGAGGTAAGGTGAATGATGTGAGGTGAGATGAGGTGAGGTGAGTGAGATCAAGTGAGGTGAGGTGATGTGAGGTGAAGTGATGTGAATGAGGTGGGGTGAGGTGAGGTGAAGTGAGGTGGGGTGAGGTGAGGTGGGGTAAGGTAAGCTGAGATGATGAGGTGAGGTGATGTAAGGTTAGGTAAGGTAAGGTGAGATAAAATGAGACGAGATGAGATGAGAAAAGGTGAGGTGAGGTGGGGTGAGGTGAGGTGAAGTGAGGTGAGGTGAGGTGAGGTGAGGTGAAGTGAGCTGAGCTGAGATGAGCTGAGATGAGGTAAGGTGAAGTGAGGTGAGGTGATGTGAGTCGAGGTGAGGTGAGGTGAGGCGAGGCGAGGTCAGGTCAGGTCAGGTCAGGTCAGGTCAGGTCAGGTCAGGTGGGGTGAGGCGAGTTGAGGTGACATGTGCTGTGCGGTGCTGCGCTGTGCTGTGCTGTGGTGCAGCATGGCGTGACACGGCGTTCTGTGATGGGACTCGTCTCCAGCTCCTCTGTTTCGCGGCAGTGACGCCGGACCTCGGGCAGCCCACGGGTCAGCGACCTCCGCGTCGCTCGGTTCAACCACCAGCAAACGGGGATGAATTTAGACCGCCGCAGCGAAACATACATTATACATGACGTCCATGACTTCTAGCTACTAGCCTGCAGCAGCCAGAATTGATCTCTTCTTGTTTGCAAAATTGATCATGCGTTCGGCATTTCAGCTGAATGTTTGACTCTCCCGCCGTCCGGCTCTGAAAATGCCAGCCGTTGCCTTCAACGCTCGCTGACGTAAGCGAGCGCCAGCACAGGAACAAGGCCCCAGAATCCCCAGTGACGCCGGTGGTCGGCTGCCGCTCCGGTCGATCGACGTCATGTCATTATACATTATGTTTATTGTGATTTAGTGATTGACGCCATGGTATACCCCGGTGCGAGGGGTGTGACGCTCGCCCAAGGCGGTCAGGTCAGCAGCCCGACGGCGTGTCCCTCTGGGCCAGGACCACAGACCGTGCCCTCGAATCCGGCCAGCCATAGAAGGCGGCTTGTTAGGCTTAATTGGTCCAGAGGTAAACCCAGAGGTGTTCAAAGCGCCAACAGCCCAACCAGGGTGGGCAGAATCCGCAGTAAAATGTTGACGGTGTCATGAGCTTTGTTTCTTTTGGCCCAACATGGTCATGTTGAACTCATCACACATGCGCCAGTGTCTGACCGTCATAATAGTTCGCTACCATTGTCTGTGCATTTAGTAGCTGGAAGGATTTTGGTGCCTCATTGCATTGATCGCATTATGATTTCAACACGATCCATACAAGCGGCCCCAATTCGTCGAATCCAACGTCGATATGCAGCAGACGGTCACTTCAGTCTCCAGTTCATGGCTCACACTGAAGTGCGTCACCGCTCACCATGATAACGTCAACCCGCGCTTACCGTGATAACGTCACCCCACCCTCACCGTGATGACGTCACCCCGCACTTACCGTGATGACGTCACCCCGGCTGAAGCTGAGCGACTGCGGGTCACTGGCGTCCCTGTGGTCTCGGACGGCGCGTGCTCGGCACCCGTACACCGCCTCTGAAACAGGAGACACGCGCCGCTCTCACACGAGGCCACGGACGGGGCACGCGGCGGCGCCGGAGACGGCAGACAGCCGGACCTCGGCCAGCCCGCACCCCGTGACTGCACACCGACTGCGAGGCGTTGCGGCACAACTGGGAGGTGTCTGGTGTCCGCTGAGGCTGGCTCAGAAGTGAGGCTGGCGAGGACAGCTGCACCGACGGATGAAAGCACCAAAGTCTCATCGCAAGCACGCCGCCCGCAGGCAGCGCGTATCCATGGTAACCGCGAGCCAGCGAATGGATATTTCCGCTATCCTCCCGCGCGCCTACAGCTCTTATCGTATTGTCGTCTGGGTGCTGCAGTGCCAGTGCAAACAGTAACACGGTATCACGCGATCATCACCACGCCCTTGCATCGCACTATCAGCTGCGCGAGCCATCCATAACGCCGGGCGGTCGCTATCTGGTGGCGCCGGTGGCGCCGGTCGTCTCTCCAGTCTCCATTGTCTCTGAACGCCGGCTCGGCTGAGCAGCCGCCTACACACGGGTAAAACCCCGGGCAGTCGCCAGTGACGCGGATGATAAATCACTGTCGGGATCCCACCATAATCCGGCGAGGCGCCGGACCGGGCGGCAGCAGCGCGTCAGACGGCGGCGGATCGAGGCACGCTACTCCGGCGGACGAGTCCACCAGCCAGGAGACCACGTGCGTCGTCAGCAATGACGCTGTTGAATCCAGTTGTTTAATTATATCGGGTACAGATGAAGGTAAATCTTGACGTTCCGCGGGGTGGCCTTTTCCCCCCACCTGGACTCGCCACTGGCAGCACGGGCTACGGCCACCGCTCCCGCCACGTCCACACGCTCATTTCGAGCGAGAAGATGAAGACATCATTCTGGGCCATTTTTCTAATTTAACGCTCCGCGTAGCGACTGTCGAATACTTCAGCCGGTATAACGAATCGCGTAATGGGCGAGAAGGATTTGATTTTTCAGCAAAATGATGGCGCTGCGGATCTGGCAGCACAGATTTGGCAGCCGCGTGGGTTGCATATTGAGAGGGCGGGGATGTGGCGTTATACAGGGCACTTGGATGTGGTATGCCGACACGGATCAACACTGAGATCAGCTGAGCGGTCAAGCACAGTACATGACGCCGGGACCATGAGTTGTCGACCTAACAAAGGTCAACACTGGGACGCTGAGCTGTCGACCTAACAAAGGTCATCACCGGGGCCCTGAGATGTCGACCTTGTAACAAAAGTCTTCATCGGAACCCTGAGACATCGACCTCACAAAAAGGTCAACATCAGGACCCTGAGATGTCAACCTAACGAAAGTCAACATCGAGACCCTGAGCTGCTGACCTACCAGCGGCACTTCGCTTATCACTCGGTCACAAGTAAATGTTTGCTCGCCGGAGCGCCACGCGCCCCGGGCGGCCCCTGAATCCAGCTGACCCGAGCTCCCACCCGGGGCGGCCAACGGCGGCGTCGCCCCGCTGGCGGCCATCTCGCGCCGCCGGCCGGGTCAGGAGGCGCTCCGCTGCCGCCGGCCGCCTCGCCGCCGGGCACATTTGCATGCTGAGGGCGCCGGCTGGATGTGACGGGCTAATCGGCGCCGAAGCGGGCAGGCGGCGAGCTCCCGGCGCGCGAGCGCTGCGGCTTAGCCCGGCCCGGCGCGGGGATCGCACCAGAGGCGGCGGCGCGGCCCGGCCGGAGCGCGGCAGGAGGCGGACGGCGCAGCGAGGACGGGAGCGAGCGTCAGCCGGGGGAGTACCACCGAGACGCTGGTGGCGACTCTATGTAATGCATAATAAACATCGGGCTTGAGCCGCTGGGCGGCGCAGGTCCAGCACGGCGGCGCCCAGCTCCAGCACGATCAGCAGTCAGCTCCAGCGGCGCAGCGGGCGCCTCCGCCCCCCCCCCCCCCTCCGGCCGCCAGCTCGTCGGCCTCCGCCGCGCCGTATCGGCCCATGTTAGCGATCAAAGGCGCTGACGACGGGGTGATCAGGAGGCCCCTTTTGAAGCCTACTGCATTCGGCGCGATCCCAGCGCTCCATTTTCAGCCTGTTTTGTCTTCACGGGCGGTGAGCCGGTACTGATCCGACCCTTGGCAAACATCCCGACCGACACGCTTCGTTTGACTTCAAAATGACAGGTATCAGGGAAAAGCGTTCGCGCGCACGCACGCACACACACACACACACGCATAGACGCACGCAGGCACGTACACACAAACAGGCACACACACACACACACACACACACACACACACACACACACACACACACACACACACACACACACACACACACACACACACAGACGCGCATGCAGTACCTACGCCGTCCAATACAGCCAGTTAGCTATCGTGGTATACCGGCGTATGGACTCTAAGCTAGAGTGAAGAAAATTCAAACAAACAGTCCATGGGTTGGCGATCAGTATGCATAATGGAATGAGACCATGGAAGCCTACACGTTCGACTCAGATGAGGACTGTACAGGCGGTAGGTTGCATGCCTGATCACGTATCGTACAGCGTTGCAATTTCTGAAAGAAAAAGGATTGTTCGGATAACTGTATGTACAAACATTAGAGAGCTTTGCCATGATCTTTATGAAATGGCGCGCAGTTTACGTATGACGGCATATTTTAAAGGGATGGACGAATGCATGCATGCAACGCAATGCATGCAAGGCATGCATGAATGTTAAATGTTGAGCATGCACTCAGCCTTCAGTTCTACTGTAACTCAGACTTCGACAGGCGGACATGCCTCACGTCGACTCTCTTTAAGGTAATCGTTTAAAGTATGATGCGTGTTTTTTGGTTGGTGTATTACCAAACATTGAAGATGAGTCCCACTTACGCCTTTAATCAAATGTGACTACCCAAACTTGCAAGACTTGACGTTGACACATTCTTTTTTAAAAATCATGATTTAATAGTTGCAATTTCTCGCTGAAGCAACGAGTTATTAATCACTTAAGAAACTTCACGCCTGGAAGTGCTGAAGCCAGATGATGCTTGGATAATATGGAGTCTGTAAACTATGTTCAAGAAGCCTCTAATTGTGACAGAATATTTACGCCGGTTGCTGAGGCCGTCGTCTGACATGTCATAAATTTTAAATGGCGCCGGGCGCCCCAAGTTTCCTGTGTGCGCGCTGGCCCAGTGACCTTTCTGGCGAGAGGGCTGCGCAGCTCTCTCGCCCGGACCAGTCTGGCCGGGGCGGGAGGCGGCGGCGGCCGGGCAGAGCGCGAACGCCCCGGTACGCCCGGACCAGTCTGGCCGGGGCAGGAGGCGGCGGCGGCCGGGCAGAGCGCGAATGCCCCAGTACGCCCGGACCAGTCTGGTCGGGGCAGGAGGCGGCGGAGGCCGGGCAGGGCGCGAACACCCCGGTACACCCGGACCAGTCTGGCCGGGGCAGGAGGCGGCGGCGGCCGGGCAGAGCGCGAACGCCCCGGTACGCCCGGACCAGCCTGGCCAGGGCAGGAGACGGCGGCGGTCGCTGGCCAGCCGGGCAACGCCCGAACACCCCGGTACAGCGGGCCTGTCTGAAGGCGGCGATAGCGCGGCAGCCGCTGGACCACTACGGGAGGAGGGGGGGGGGGGGGTCGGTGTGCGGCCGCGGCTGCACCGCTGTCGGCCCACCATGAAGGGAGTGGTGAGCTATCAGCCGGCGCCGGCATGGGTATCCGGCACCTGTGAGTGTAACTAGTGGTATTTGACGGATGATCCGTATGTGGTAGATTGGAAGCACGCAAGAGTGCAAGCTTGTAAAAATACGAATTGAGTGCATCTTGAGATTCACTCTAGCTATAGCTGTTGCAAGCAATCGTTGACTGTTCGTCCGTTGTTTCGGGAGGTACAGCTCCGGCTATATCCATCACTCGGTGACGGTTAACAACCACACCGCTGTAAGTGGGTGAGCATCAGCGCGTAATAGTTTAAATAGATAATTTAGCTGCAGCCTGGTTGCTGAATTGGGCTGCAAAGTGGTAGACAGGCTCTACGGTACCTAAATATACAGTTCCGGATATTGCACATGTTTGAGGTGTCGGCACTTCCGGTATTTCTAATTTAACACTCAGGTGAAGGGCTTACCGATCTGTATGAAATATCAGTTGTCTCTGCATGAGCTTGCGTTCAGCGAGGCGTATTCTGACCAATCAGGGTACCTAGTGCAATATCATAACGTGTCACAGCACATCACAGCTTACGTAACGCGTGGTAAGGCGATCACATGCCGCAAGGGTGCATACATGATTGAAAAATGAAATTTTGCGCATAACGCTCAGCAGAAAAGTGCGCAGCATGAATTAACGAAAGTGCGCGACCGGATTCATCCGAACCTCGCACGGATATCACATCTATGGGAGTGCAAGGCCCTGACCCAAGTCTGTGTGGAAATTGAACATTGAACATTTTCCATTGCACTGCCCGCAGTTGCACATGAAAAGGACTGACATGATAAAACTTGGCTCATGTACTCCCCCTGCCGCACATGTACTCCCCCTGTACTTTCTGCCGTGCCTACGCCTCTGAAGCCCGGCGGCCGCATTCCGGACCAGCATCGGCTGCACACGGCCTCCAGCCTACGCGACCTCGCGCCGCGCGCTCCCCGAGGGCGGCGCCGACTAAGTGTCGCCATAAATCCACCATGTGTGTAAAATGAAAGCCAATATCGTAAAGTTGTGGTGCCGGCGCGTGCCCAGCCCTAGCGCGCGCCGGCGGCGAAAACAACGGCGCGCCAGCCGACGGCGAGCGGGCCGCCACCGGACCACCGGCGTCGTGAGCCAACTGCAAATGATGAGCACTGCTGACAGCGCCGTGCGCCGACTCCGAATGGCGCGGACAAAGCGGCCAAGACGGCAGTGATACGCTGACTGTGGCGGACACGGACCGAGCGGGTTCGAACAGCGGGGGTGCGGCTAACAATGGAGGAAACCGTGGCTCGACAGAGCGGCTCCAAACGGCGGTCATGCAACGAGGGCTATCAGGGCCACACG